CTGAAAGAGACTGGGTTTTTATTTCCCCTGGGGCATAGGAGAAAGCTTAGTTTATTTCCTGTCCACAAACATTTATTAAGCACCAACCATGGATCTGGCACCGAGCTGGGCACAGGGGATGCAGAGGAGACAGAGCTGCCTCGGCACTGTGGGACAGTTTATGAGCCCTGGGCTCTAAGCAACGAGGTGACAGTGCACACTGAGGGTGGGCTGCGCAGGACAGAGGAAGCAGTGGGACAGTGCAGTCTGGGCTCACAGGCAGAGGCTGCACCAGGGAAGGGGTTGTGCCAAAAGGACTGGAACAAGAGGTGATGAGCCAGTCACTGAAGTTCAAACCTCTTTCAATGAGCTGCTGCTCCAGGCTAGCACCACGCAGGGTCTAGCCACACATCGGAGGATGACCAAGGCCTATTTGATGTTGCAAATAACCTATGCTCCTTCAGGGTCTAGAGGAGAGAAAGACGGATAGGGACAGCTGGGTGGAGTAAATGTACCAAAGAATCATGGAGAAAACTGAGTGTCAAGGAGACGATTGAAACCACCTCAGTACTGGGCCATGGCAGTGGTCCTGTCCAGTTGGGGGATTGAGAAGGCTTTGTGGAAGAGGCACACTGGGTGTGGGTCTGAAGGAGACGGACCACGTGTACATGAAGGAGGTGGGTGAAGGTGGGGGAACCCTGAAGCTGGGGAGGCTGAGCAGGCACTCCAGCAAGAGGGCCTAGCACTGACGGGCAGAGCAGGCTGAGGAGCTAGAGGCAACATCAGCTGCGCAGGGAGGATGGCAGGCTTCCACCTGACCCTGGGTTGTAAAGTCCTTGCTCGGAGGCTCTGAGAGAAGGCAGATGGGAGGTGAGGTGGTGTCAATCTTGAGAGTATGGTTTGGGTGGTCACAAAGGCTCAGCCTGAGAAATTTCTCTGCTTATTTAGTTGTTATCAGCTACCAGATGTTTACTAATGACTTCCAACATGAGAGTCAAGGAGAATGTCCAGAAATGTAGGAGAAAATATTTAAACTCAAGTGGAGAATGGGAAGACAGTCCGTATATGACTGTGGGTAGCATATATGGGGAATTTGTGACTATAGTCTAAGACTAAGGAACTAGATGGGAACAAGAAGAGCAAGACAGATAGGGTAAAAAAGAGCTGGAGAAAGCAAGGACAGAGGTGGAGGACAGGCCATGTGATTTGGTGACAAGGCCACTGCTGACCCTGCTGAGGCCCAGTTCAGAAGGTCAGGAAGAGCAGGAGCCAGAGGACAAAGAGGTCACCAGATGGGGCTAGAATAGTAGTTTGGCACTGTTCCAGGACTGGGGAAGGGTAGATTGATTTTGGAAGCATTTCAGTGGGACTAGAAACATAGATTGGTCTAGTGCCCCACAGGCAAGGGAGTTGAGTAGAGCTATGTTTTAGCCTGGGGCAATCTGGGAGGTATCTGCAGGTGGGTGGCAAAACACCAAACAGAAGGATGGAGGTTGGGGGTGGCAGTGTGGCTCAGTGGTAAAGCACCTGCCTGGCATGAGTGAAGCCCTGGGTTAAACTCCCAGGCCTGTGGGGAGCAGGAAATGCCAGGAAGAGTAGAGAGGACAGGGTGGGAGGAGAGGAGCAAGTTCTCTGCTCAAGTCAGAGGGGGGAGTTTTTGTTTGAAATTCATGAAGATAACTCTGCAATTAATTCTTTTATTAATCTGATATATATTCACTGAATGCCTGCAGGTCCTGAGCACTGTCCAAGTGTTGTGCATAAAGCAGTGAATAGGGCAACAAAGTCTCTCTCTTCATGAGGCTTAATATCTAGAGGGGACTTGGTGGGACAGATACAAGAATTTTACTTTTTTCTTTTTAATTTATTTATACTTATTGGTACAATGTAGGTAGACATAATGACCACATTCATTACAGAGAATTTGAGATACGAGAATTTTAAATCTGATTTTGTTCTTTGCTCCAAGGAAACATGGCATTGACTGGTAGAAGAAGCCTCTTAAGGGTTATCTGAGTCAATCTGCGGCCTCCATGCAGAAGGGAACCCCTTTCCTGTGTCACATGCGTCTCAGGCAGTGGGTTTCCTACCTTTTCTCAGTTGTCAGTAGCTTGAAAGCATGCTCTTGGGCCCCAGTTTCCCTAGAAAGACAAGCATAGGTTGACTTCTGGGCTTCCTGTTAGTTCTCATGGTGTTTTGGGAGGAACAAGAGGGTGACAGAAATTGGAAGGGAAGGAGGCAGCTTAGTGGTGAGTCCCACACACCCTCTACACTTTCCTCAGAGGACATGCCTGTCCAGGCCAAGGCCAAACTCCATTTCAGGCTGTAGGGTTCATGCCAGAACTCGGCAGAGAGAACAATCCCAGCTACAAGGTCCTCTTCCTCCTAGCATGATTTCTTCACAAGGGAAAAAGAAAGCCTCTGAGGCACATAGTGATGGTTTTTTTTCTGAGTGCATGAGGTCCTATTTAGACAAAGACCAAGTAGGCAACTTGTCACATTGGCATGGTAGGCAGGGTTCATGGTCCTCCTTTGATATACCCTGGTCCTCCTTTGACATATCCTGTACCCTGTACAGCTCCCCGCCTCGAATTTGAGCAGGAGTAATGAATGTGATGGATGTCACTTGTAGGGCTAGTGATAAGAAATGCTCACTATGTTTCCAGTGGATTTGAAACAGATACCTCACATCAGTTGACTAGGTTAATGAAAAGGGAGCTCATCCTGGTGGGCCAGACCTGTAAAAGAAGGTGAAGCCTCAGAGGTGACCCCTGTAGGCCTTGAAGGAAGACTACCACTTTGTGGAATGGGCTGTGTGGCATGGGCAGCTTTTGTAACTGAGGGCCTTGATCCTACAATCCTAGGAACTGAAATCTGCCAACGATGGCGAGCTTGAGAGAAATACCCAAGCCTTAGATGGATTTCAGCTGCAGCTAACACCTGATTTCAGCCTGGTACTGTCCTGGGTAGAGAACCCAGATGAGCTGTGACTCCAGCTACTGATCTACAAAACTATGGGAAATATATGGGTCTGTTTTAAAGCTGCTGAGTTACAGTAATTTGTTACAAAGCCGTAGAGAGCCAGTACATCTGTTCTTGTTGTTTGCTTGATTGGTTGGTTTTGTGTGGTGTTAGAGATGGAACCCAGGGCTTCACACAAGCTAGGCAGGTATTGTGCCATTTATCTACACCCCCAGTCCCATTCTATTGTGATTTTTAAGAGCACTTTGAAGACCCTTCAGTCTTAACCCACTGGCAGGGTTTCCTCGTGCTGCTCAGAACTTTGGGCTTTGTGAAATCCAGCTACTTCTGGCAGGAGTCACATGGGAAGTCTTATGGGCCACTATCCTTCATCTGAATAAGCTTCCAACTACCCATGGAGAGTAGGACTAGATGGGGGGGGGCTCCACATGATACCCCTAGGTTTGGGGATGGGTGTGCCACTGGATGGCAAGGCTAGAAGGGCTGGAGGGAAACACTGGAAGTGTCTCAATTTACCTGGGATTGCCCCTGAGAAATAGGGTTGTGCCCTTGAGGCCTCCTGGGCTCTGAGGATGCCTCTGCTGGACCACTGTGGGTCACCATCCAGGAAGGATGGAACCAAGGGCATCATAGGGGTTATGGGAGGCAGTCACCCTAGCTGTACCCTTTGGAGGGTCAAGCAGAGCCATGAGCAGGTTGCAGTGCAGTGTTGAGGGATAAACTTGGCCCTTCGATCTGCACTGCTCCCCATCATGACCCCGGGGCTATGGGAATGGCCAGGTTCTTGCCTTGAGCAGTGAATCTCACCCTCCCCTCCTAATTCTTAGTTCAGGAATGAAACAGTGTGTAAGTGGTGGGGATGGCTGTGAAAAGACATCACCTCAGTGCCCAAGAATTCCTCACTTCCCAAACTTCTTTAAGGACCAACCCAAGTCCATATCAACACCAACCAACCCCATCCTCTTAATGTAAGCCCTGTCTCTTCCGTATTTAACTGCAAAGCCCTCTGGAGGCATGATTAAACAGCATTAGTCATTCATTCCTCAGAGGACCGTCTTTCTAGTCCTTTCCTGGGAAGTGTAATAAAGGAGAAGCAAAAACAAGGCAACCTAAGCAGACAAACAACCACAGACAGGGTTAAGAGCTTAGAGGAGGAGAACAAGGACCCTGGAGTCAAGGGTCAAGCTTTCCTGGGGCCAGGCGTGCCCGTGTGGGAACCCCAAGCTCCCCCACCATACCCTGGCCAGGCTAGAAAATGCCCACTGCAGATAACAGAGCCAACTTGAGCTGTGGAGCTATCAGTCCTGATGGTCTAAAGGACCCCACTCTTGAGACCCCATCCAACTGTTAAGGAAGTTCACAGGTATTGAACACCTACCATGAGCCACACTGTGGGAGTGGGGTACTGTGATCAACTCTTGTCCCCAGTCTCCATGATGCTGCTGAGAAAGGGGAGGCACCCCAATGCAGGGGTGAGCAGAGGCAGACACAGCAGGTGTTCTGTTTGGGGGTGTTAAAAAAATTTTTGTTCAATATTTCATTGTTCACTATTTTTAAGAGTCTTCCAAAGTAGAAATAATAGTGTAATAAACTCCCATATAGTCACCACTGATCCAACATTTTTGTTAATATTTTTATTAATATTAATGTTCTGTCACCCTTCCAATGCAAATTTACAGTATTTTAATGCAAATCAAACACATGCACTTTACCTATAAATACTTCTGTTTGCATTTCTGATGTGAACACGTTTTAATTACCACCGCAGCAGCTGTAACTGAGCGCCAGCAGCAACTTCTCTTTGCCCTGCCCGCTGGGAAATCACTACTCAGGGACTTCTCCACCCGCACCCTCTAGTGTCTTGCTGAGGATCTGGGATCTCAGGCCAGGTCATGCTAGGCGTTATCACATGTGAGCCCCAGTAGACCTCGCCAAAAGCACTTCAGGTGGCTCCAGGCACTGACCCCTCCCCCACCCTACGGAGGGGGCCTATGACAACCTTCCCTAACAGAGCCCTTCCCCCTCTGTCCTTGCTGCAGATTGAAATGCTAGAACACAAGTACGGGGGCCACCTCGTGTCCCGACGCGCTGCCTGCACCATCCAAACCGCCTTCCGCCAGTACCAGCTTAGCAAGAACTTCGAAAAGATCCGCAACTCGCTGCTGGAGAGCCGCCTGCCTCGGCGGATCTCCCTCCGCAAGGTGCGGGCGCCCACCGCTGAGAGCTTGGCAGCTGAGAAGGCGCTCATGGAAGGCTACGGGCTTGTGGGGCTGCCGCTGGTGCGCTCGCCCTCGCTGCCGCCCACCTTCGCGGGCACACTCACAGAGCTGGAGGACTCTTTCACCGAGCAGGTGCAGTCCCTGGCCAAGTCCATCGACGATGCCCTCAGTACCTGGAGCCTCAAGACCATGTGCTCCTTGCAGGAGGGTGGCGCTTATCAGATCCACCAGGCCCTGCATGCAGACTCGGGGCAGCCTGGCCTGGAGGGTGAGATGCTGGAGCCTGAGGGCTCGGGCCCAGGGCTGGGGGATGAGGCCGTGGAGGCCGCCAGCCTGCCCCAGAGCCACAGCAGCACCCTCATGATGGCTTTCCGAGACGTCACAGTGCAGATTGCCAACCAGAATATCTCTGTCTCCTCCTCCACGGCTCTGTCTGTGGCCAACTGCCTGGGCGCAGTGCAGACAGCCCAGGCCACAGCTGAGCCTGCAGCCAGCAGTGGTGAGCAGGACGAGGCCCAGCAGGTCCCTGCCATGGGCCAGGGGGACACGCCCACAGAGGACACAGGCCCAGATGCAGCAGCGGTCAGCCAGGCCACTGACACCCACCAGCCAGTCGCTGCTGAGGCGGTGGTGGAGGAGGCTGTGGTTACTGAGGCAGAGGAAGAGGCTGGGGAGGCAGCGAAAGGGACAGAGGCCGAGGGAGGTGACAACTCTGAGCAGCTGAGCAGCAGCAGCACATCCACCAAATCAGCCAAGTCCAGCTCGGAGGTGTCAGCGGCAGCATCCAAAGAGGCCCTTCAGGCCATGATCTTGAGTCTGCCCCGCTACCACTGCGAAAACCCTGCTAGCTGCAAGTCGCCCACACTCTCTACCGACACCCTGCGCAAGCGGCTCTACCGCATTGGCCTCAACCTCTTCAACATGTAAGTGAGCTCTGGCCTGGGGCTCGGGAGGCCTGCGAAGGGCTGCAGGGAGGTGGGGGTCTTGAATTGACAGAGCACCTCCTCCCTGTAGCACAGGGTGTCAGACAGTTTATCGCCTCATTCTGGGGTGGTCCTGCCACTCCTGGCCCTGAGATAATGCTCAAAAAGCATGTTTTACATGTTTTATGTTCCCTTATGGATTTATGAAGTATCTGGGGAAAATGACACATCAAACGTAGGCTTTCACGATCATTACTGTTTAAGATGAAGTGAGGGTTTGAAAAGTGGGAAATTTGAAAGGAACCTAGAGTCAAGTTAATAGCAGCACAAGCAGTGTAAAGATAGAACAACTGTTCAGGTACAAGATGAGGCTAGAGAAACAGCCTGTTTCCTGTGGCTGCAAAAAGGAGGGGCTGGGGGAAGACAGAGGAGAGACAGTGTAAAGTATATTGGGAGGAGCCAAAGAGGAATTGGACTTAAAGAAGGAGGAGGCAAGGAAGGGAATGTGAAGCAAGCAGAGAAGAATAGCAACAGAATGGAGCAGTGGAAGGAGAGAAGTGAACACCTACTTAATTTAGAGACTTCAATCAGACTATTTCTTGCAAACCAAATGTACACAGCCAGCCTAAAGCAGAAAATGCAGGCATGTTCCTGTCACCAAAATGTAAAGTCCCTAGGGCCCTCATGCACCCTACAGCCACCTTTTCCGTCGTAGCTCTGGGCCCAGAGTGCCATGTGTGTCCTGCCTACCTGTGTGTTCACTTACTCATTCAGTGGCTGTTTACTGATTGCCAGACACCATGACCACAAAGATGTGGAAGGCGCCCGACCTCCAGCCCCTCACTGCCCTTCACAGCTCCCTGACAAAGCACCTGCTGCTGTTTTACAGAGCAAGAAACACCTCCCACAAGTAAGGCACACCTCATCCAGTTACACTGCTCAGACAAGGTAGACCCAGGAGAAGCCAGAGCTGCCTGACTGCAAACCCACCGTCCTTGTTCCCACACCAGGCTGCTGCCTGGGTGTGCACCGCCCCACCCTGCCCACCCTCACATCCCTCCACAGGATCACTTCTGTATGCACACAAAAACCCAACCAACATTCATATCCCTCAAGACAGAGATTCTCAGACCACCTCTAGGGAAAGACAGTTTGCACCCCTCCCAACACGTGGGCAGATGCTTTTGTGAAACACAATAAAAATGATTTGCAAGAAAAAGTCACGTGGTAGGCTGTCTCAAAAAGGTCAAAGCGCTATGAAAGCTTCTGAGTGTATACCCTCAATCTCTCTACCTAGCTTCTTTGGACCCAATGAGATACAGCACAGGGAGCCGCATGAGTCTGCAGACAAGTGCATTTAGCACACAGTCCCCACACCCACCCAGACTCACATCTGGACAGGGGCCCCTGGACAGCTGGGTCCTTGGGTCCTCCATGAAGAAGGAAGAGGGTTCGTGGCACGGAAGCTCGCGTCCGTTTCCCTCACCCTCTCCAGGCTCCAGGGCAGGGGCACCTGATAATGACCTCAAGACACAGGCAGAGTGCAGGGCCTTCTCTGCAGACCTGAAGACCTCAAGGCAGCGAGGCAGGGGCTGAGAGGGGCACTCCTGCTCGCCTACTCTGGAATCCTCTTTGTTGCACCAGGCCTCCCCTTTACCATCCCAGTCCCTTGCCCGTTCTGGGTGTGAGGAGGTGCCGGTGAGAGGGGGACATCTGAGCAGTACGAGTTCTGGGAACTCAGTTTCCAAGGACTGCTAGACTCTTTCAGGGGTTTCATGGCTGAAAGGCGTGATGGACACAGGTCCCTGGAGGTCTTGGTTCATGACTACTTCTCCCCACGCACACTCCTCCCCAGAAACCCGGACAAGGGCATCCAGTTCCTGATCTCGCGCGGCTTCATCCCTGACACGCCCATTGGCGTGGCGCATTTCCTCCTCCAGCGCAAGGGCCTCAGCCGCCAGATGGTCGGAGAGTTCCTGGGCAACAGCAAGAAGCAGTTCAACCGCGACGTGCTGGAGTGAGTGCCCCGCGCTCCGGGCGCCCCACGCTCCCTCATCCCTACCCCACCTGCCTAGAATCCCGAGACCTCAGCCAGGACCTCCAAAGTCTCAGCGAGAGTTCCCGGCTCTACATCATCGCTCCTGCCCTGACAGCTTTTTGATTGGCTGCCGCAATGGGCGGGCCAGAGTGACATAGTCTTTAGCCAATCACCGACTCTGTACTGAGCTGTTGCCTCCCTTTAGGCTCAATCATTAAGGGCACTGGGGCCAGGTGCCTTTCCAGGCATCAGGGTTGCTTTCTATCAAGGGAGACAAAAGGTCTACCCAGCCACCAACTAGGACAAGAGAAAGAGCCCAAAAAATGTAGAAGGATGTGTCAGTACAAGGTCCCAATCAACTTTGTCCTGCCCACCTCTCCGCTCCCGACAACCCTCATCTCCAGGCTCGTTTTCGCATTGGTAGAGGCAGAACATGAGCGCAATAAAAAGCAGGGTTACACTGAAGGTTCTTAGAACAAGAAAACACTATGACTCCATAAAGATAAGTTGACCAACCAAATTACAACAAAAGAAACTGTCTTCATACCCTTTACTGTGTCGTGGCAGGGCTCTCCCCTCTTGGGAAGGATGGCGAGGAAAGACAAGGCCCTGAAGGTGGCCCTGCCGCTCCCCGACGTGCTCTCTTCCACTTGGACAACCAGGCTCACTCCCTTCTTACCTAAAGGTCCCCACCATGGGGAATGATCCCCACCCACTTCCCAACACTGTTTCTCTCTGGAAACAATCAGTAGAAGTGTTTCCTTTTTTCGCTGCTCCCAGAGCATCAGGGCCTGCTGAGAGAGCGGCAGGGCTCCTTCTGCCAGGTATGGTCCCTGGATGGGAGCGAAAAGATAGGCCTCATTCACAGAGCGTTTCGGGCATTGTGTCACCAAGGGGACAAGTCTCTGCTCTCCTTGTGTTCCACACCTGTGAAGCGGTGAAGGAAGATTGTCATGAAGGGTGGTCCACTTGTCTTCTCAGAATGGGGCTGGCCATCCCAAGTGTATGTAGGGACAGGCAAGGCTCAAGGTCAGCGGGAACTCAGCCCACCAGGGACAGACACTGTCACATTCCCAAGTGCAGGTAGGAAAGCCAGGGCTTAGAGGGACCTCCAAATCCCCATAGGCTGTTAGCTGTGCAGAATTTCCCTATTTCCAGCTGTGGGAACTGGAAACTGGTCAGACGCATCAAGTGCCCGGAGATGGAAATCAAACTGATAAATACTCCGCATTTCCCATTCGCCCTTCTTCTGGCTCATCTCCCTTCTCTCCTCTGTCTTGTCACCTCACCCTGCTGTGGAGGGTGCCCTGAGGGGATGGCACAGGGGTCTGGTACAGGTCCAGGAACCCAGGAAGCAGATGACTGCATTGTTCTTCTTTCCACACATGCCATGCCACTCCACTGGGCTCATCTCTGCCCACTTTTCATGCCTTTGCCCCCTTCCCATTCTACTCTCTTGGTTCTTTCCAGTGGCCCCCACCCACAGGTGACCCTGTATCCCTATGCTCTGGGGATAAGAATGGTCCCACAACCCCCACCATTTTTCATACTATTTTTTTCTGTTGTCCCCAGTCCCCAAGGGGCTGGGTCCTGCATTCTAACATGCCAGGCCCACACTGATCTGTCAAGCTCATGCTGAGCAGTGCAAGGAAAACTAATTGCCATCCTCCCTGGGAGACTGAGTGTGGGAGAGACAGAGACAGCCTAGGAGCAAGCCACCTAGGGAGTGGGTGTGAGGGCGGAGGGCTGCAGGCTGCGGGCTGCAGGCTGCAGGCTCAGACCAGGATCTGTGCTGAGGGGCTGGAGCCGCACTGGGCCAGCGCTCAGGCTGCTCTGGCTCTAGGTGGGTGGGCTCGAACCCTGGCCGTCCTCCTAGGATCTACATGCTGAATAGCTCTGGCAAGTTTCCTCTGTCCAGGCTTCAGTTTCCTCGTCTGTAAAATGAGAGGGTTGGGCAGTACAATCTCACAGTCCCTCCAAGTGCTGTGAATCGATGTCCTTTCTTAGTGCATTTATTACTCACTGGTTTTAGTCATCTAGAACCATCTGGCCCAAACATTAAGACCAGGCTTTGCCCTCCTCCCAAAGCATATTAGGAAAAACTGAAAACTCCAGACCTATGCTGAGGAAAATGAGATGACTGTTTATCATTCACTCAACAAACACAGAGTGCTTACCACATGCTGAGAGTAGGGCCAGGCTGGACATCTTACGGGAACACGTCTCCTGTATGTGGGAGCAGGTGTGACTCATGGTGTGAGGGAACACAGACCCAGACACCCATGGAGAGAGAAGAGAAAGGGGCATGGGAAGAGAGCAGAGAGCTCAGAGCTCTCTCTCTCTGACATCCTGGCATCAGGATTGGCAGAGTGCAAAGCCGAGCCTGATGCTGCCCATGGTTCTGCCCACTGATGCAGCCACACAGAAAGGAGCCCTCCTCCCCCAAGTGCATGGCTGCCTAGTGTGTGCCAGAGAGGAAGTACAGGAAGGTAAGCAGAAGCAGGCGGAAGCAGCCAGAATGGTTCCCAATTAACGTTTTAGGAGCCACTGTCTCTTCCCTATCCCCTCCCCCTACCGCCCCCAGAGAAACACAGGCAGTAACCTTCCTGGGACCATTTTACCTGGATCTGGAAGGGTTCACTGGGATTCTCCAAGGATCCCCTGTCCCCATCTGGGGGGCCGGGAAGATAGCTCAGTAGAATAAGTGCTTGCCTGGCAAGCACAGGGTCTGGCGTTCAGTCCCCGGTACCGTGAAAAAAAAAGGGGTCCCTGCCCCCACCTGGTGACGTTCAGTGAGTCACATCCATTCTGTACAGAGCTGCTTGCCAAATAAAGGCCATAAATCACCCTGCCCCTGGGAGACAAAGACAGCCCGAACCACAGCATTCTTGAGAAACAGCCGGATAAGGAAGGATGGAGGTGCAGCCCCTCCTGAAAGAGAGAGCAAGAGGGACCTCTCCAGAGCTGTGGGGGCAAGAGAAGAGCAGTCCCAGAAAGGACCCTGCCTCTGCGGCAGACCTGAGGTGGCACACCCTGCTGCCCTCAGAAGCTGACATACATCTCTACCCTTGGGGCCTTATTTCCACAGAAGACATGTTCCAAGAAAGGATGTTTTCCATCAGGTATTTTTTTCAAATAAGAATGCAAGACAAGACAGCAGGGCTCAAAGGGTCATGCCCAGTGCAGGGTTTACCTGCCGAGCATTGTTTGTTTATTTTGAAAGGCAAAATCAGCCTCAGTGTCCACATTTGCAAAAGGCCAAGGATAGCGCCTGCCTGCTGTGGATGACATGTTTAAAATGCCTGTGAAGAGGTGAACTCAGAATTTAGGAAGCTTTCTATAACTGGTAGCTGTTTCTGTTATTATCTTTCCCTCTGGAAATCTTGAGGCATTAGAACCCTCTACTCAGGGAGACCTTGAACATCCCAGGTCTTGTCTGAAGTCAGATCTACTCACCAGAGAAAAACCCGCTTGATTCTCTGAGGGAGGTGGAAGCTCCATCTGGGGACCAGCCTGACCCTGAGCGTACCCTCCCTCTATGCTCAGGAGAGATGCCTCCCTCAAGCCCCAGCCCCAGGGACCAGAGAACAACCAGCTCAGGATCCTGGGGGCCGGAAGCACCCCCTTCACCCTTTCCACATGGCTGGCAAATTTGGATCTGCTCTATTTCCTTCCCAAAACATACGCTTCAGCAGGTTTGAGGGCCAGCGGATGAGGAATGTTCCGAGCCGGCTGTGAGCGATCTCTCTTCCAACCCGGATGATTCTTTCCGATGTGAATCACATACACGGGAAGGGCATCAGTATCTATCATTTCCACAAAAATGCACCAAGGGCGGCTTTGGGGTTGATCTGCCAGCAGCAGGTTTCCTGGATGTCCCTTGTCTGCTGCATCTACTCTGTCCTCCGTGAAATCCCAAGACATAGAGATTGACGTTTAGGTCAGATTTCATTACTTCATTTCCATCGAAACGTGTTGGCCAGAGTGTAACAGATTGTTCTTCTTAAGGGACATTTTGAAATGAAGACAGATTGTCTGTCACACTCAGCAGTCTGAAAGGTTCTTGCTTTTGATCACTAGGAAGAAATGATTCAAGAACATCCTATGCTGCCCACTGTGCTATGTGGAATCTCAGGGCAGTTAACCTTTTTTTCCAAAGAATTCCCATTAGGGAGGGGAGAGGAAGCTGGACCCAGGCGGACCCTGCTGGGTATGGAGGAAAGTTAAAAGAGGCCTGGGATAAGCAGGCATATTTGCACTGCTTTGATACTTTATGCAGTGGGATGGAAGGAGAATGTCTTTTTAAAAAGCAGCATCTTTGGGGGACTGGAGGTGTGGCTCCATGGTATAGTCCTTGCTAGCATGTGTGAGGCCGTGGGTTCCGTTCGTAGTACTATCCTGCACAACAGTGTCCTCTGTGGTATTTATTGCAACCTTACTCTTTCACCTTTCCAAGCACCTACATTCATGTGTCCCCCTGTATCACAGAGGGCCAAGGACTTCTCTGAACAGTAAACAGTCGTGAAAGTTGAGAGTTCCTTTGCCCCTGCGGGCTTAGGTCCTCAAGTATGGGATGAACCACTATCCCTGGTTGATAGTGTTTTTGACATGGTCACTTGACTATGTAAAGTGGGGTTTATACACAAACGACATATCCCCCACACCCCCTTCCTTGTTCCTCAGGCCTCAGCTCTGGAGAAGTCTCTGAATCCCTGTGGGACATCAGTTGTGGCTCCAACTGTCCACTCTCTGAAGTGGGACTTCTAGGACTGGCTTTCCAGGGGTCACCTTGTCCTGATGCTTTTCTGCAGAACCTATAGCAAGAAAGCTGGCTGTGACGTCTAATAATGAGAATTCACACCAACTGTGCGCCAGTGGGCACTGCTCCAGGGACCTCACATATACAGAGCCTCACTTATTCTGTCTCTGCAGCAGCTCTCTGAATGCTGTTCGTTTCTGTAGATAAAGGAACTGAGGAA